GAGAGACCTGCCCAGGTTCTGGACAGCAGGGATGGGAGGGAAGCTGTTACCACTGCCTGGCGCAGCTGTATGTCGCAGGGCATCGCATCAGCACAAACACAGAATTATTGTCGTTCACGAGCAATCAGCAAACCGAGGCCCAGACAAGCTCCCTCAGGCATGTGCTTCCTGGACAGACTCCTCAGACAGCAACCCAACCTCCTGACAGCGCTCTCGGCAACACGCGGAATGCCCGAGTCAGGGGTGAGCCTGGCTCTGGGGCAGGCAGGGCCACAGCCAGCCGGCACCAGGCAGGGAACCCACCCGTGCCCGCCCGTCTCTCCTCCGTCCAGCAGCATCTCCAGTTTACCTGGGGCCGGTTGTTTTGAGGCTTTGTGCTTTGAAAAATGGAGAGGAGCTAATTTCAGATCAGCCGAGAGCATCCCCTCTGTTATTTTAGTTTCTGGGGATGCTTGCCCCGGGTAGCATCTCCCCCTAAGGAGGCGGCTCCGACATCCAATCCTGGGGNGTGAGCCTGGCTCTGGGGCACGCAGGGCCACAGCCAGCCGGCACCAGGCAGGGAACCCACCCACGTCCGCCCGTCTCTCCTCCGTCCAGCAGCATCTCCAGTTTACCTGGGGCCGGTTGTTTTGAGGCTTTGTGCTTTGAAAAATGGAGAGGAGCTAATTTCAGATCAGCCGAGAGCATCCCCTCTGTTATTTTAGTTTCTGGGGATGCTTGCCCCGGGTAGCATCTCCCCCTAAGGAGGCGGCTCCGACATCCAATCCTGGGGCGAAGGGACGACTCACCTGCCTTCGTGGGCGTCTGCTCTTCAGGAAGGCCACAGGCTAGTTTATTAGGGATCACCAGACGCTCTGAGGGTCTGGCGCAGTGGCTTTTTCATTAGGGAGTGTCACTGCAGATCGCCAGAAGCAATCGGTGAACGAGGCAAGTCCCACAAGGGTCGGGTTTTGAGGCAGTGAGTCCATTAGTTCTATTAGGGCGTTTTCATTGCAAAGAGGCTGAATTATTCACGAGCGCCTCTTTCCCTAAGAGCTTGGGAAGTGCAGTTCCGTGGCGCAGCCTGGCACGGCCGACTCCTGGCGTGTAAGATTGGGGTGCAGCCCAAGGTGGGGGGGGGTCCTGCCATTCCCTTGGCTCCACCTTTGCTGCCTCCATCGCCCTCATGTACCAGAGACAGGTAGCAAGGGGCAGGCTGTGCATGCTCTTTGTCATTTGAGTGCGGGACACACATGATTGTGTCTACAGTGGGGGCGTTGGGGTCCCCACAGCATGTGGCCACCACCTAGAGTGAAGGGGTTGGGGTCTGGCAAGGCCTCCCATCCCTGGATGTATTCCAGGGTGGTGTGTCTTATCTTGCCAGTACCTATAAGTGGCTGGAAGGTTCTGGAAGTCTGCTATTTGGACACCACACTGTCACTTCCTCCAGGTGGGGGCACAGGCGCCCTTCTTCATATCACAGGTCCTCCCTTGGGGTCTGGAAGATGCTCTGAGACGGCTCCAAATGAGGCTGAGTTCTGTGGTGAGTTGTGACCCCTGGGACCTGCATGTCACCCCAGGGTGCCTCAAAAGTCTCAGCATGACATCATCTTCAGCTAAGAGAGCGCGCCAGCGCATGTGGGATTTGGGATGGATATGGAGCTGTCTATCCTATGACAAACAAACAGTGGTGGCTGCCATGGGGGTTGTGGGGGCAGAAACCAGTGCCCAGGACATGGAGTAGAAGGCAAATGAAATGGGAGGCTGGGTGAGGACACGGCATCCGGAAAGGCCTCAGTGGCTGAGTTGGGATGGTTTTTCTCCAAAGGCCCAAATCCACTATGTTGGTTCCTCACTTGTCACCTCTGGTGGGGTGGCCCTGTGCCTCACTGGTAGGAGTGGCTGTCAGCCTGGCATGCCCTGAATGAGGTCGCTCCCCGGCCACTGCCTCTCTCTGTCCCTCTCAGCGCCTGCCCATCAGCAGCCTGGCCCCAAGCCTGGCTTCTGACGTCCTTTCCTGCACCTGCTCCCTGCACCCCTCTCCCTGCACCCGTGCGTAGCTCTTCCTCTCTCCACCGTTCCTGGGCTGTTACCTGGCCTCCCCACACTCAGCCTCCCCATTGCCCGTCTTACTCCCCACCCTGGGCTTCCTTCCTACAGCACAACACTGACCCCTGCCCTGCTCTGACACCACAGATGGCTCCCAGTGCCCCCCAGAGTCATCCGAGCTCCTCCACTCGGCATTCTAGGGCCTCTCCAATCTCACCCAGTCCACCCCACAGCCTGGCCTCTTGTGATTCTCCAGCACACCTTGCCGCCCAGTCTGTGCAACCACCTTCTGCGGTCTGTGCACACCTCCAAGCCGCGGCTCAGGCTGTCACCTCTACTGGAATGCTCTTCCCAGTCTCTGTGTTGAGCCCTGCCCAGCCTTCAAGGTCAGCTCAAAGCCCCCGTGCTGCCTTCTCCAGGAAGCCTTCCCTGACTCTCTCGATTGGCTGCTGCCACTCCCTCCTCTGAACCCCAGCAGCTCTTTGGACTCTTCCACGACAGGCTTTGCCTTCTAGATGCTATTCGAGTTATTAGCGTTCTGCGGTAGACTGCATATGGTTCCCAATCCTCTACCCCTCTGTATCCACGACCTTTGCCATGTGACTTGCTTGTTCCTCCCACTGGTGGGAGGGACACATTTTGCTGCCCTTTGACTTTGGGCTTGTTCAGGAGACTTGCTTTGGCCAAAAGAATGTGAGTGGAAGTGACAGGGTCCCGTTTGCAGCCACAGGTCTTCAGAGACACTGCATAGTTCTGCTTTTCTCTGTCACTCCTGCGGGGAGAAGAACGTGCCTGGGACGGGCCATAGTTAAGGAGGACAGGCAGATGGAGAGCTCCTGGACCCAACCTGCTCCATGGAGACGAACCCAGCCTCGCCTATCCACCCACATACATACAAGCAAGGAAGAAATGCTTTGCTGCCTAGCACTGAGTTCTGGGGTTGTTTGGCACGTGGCATTCTGGATGCCGCTGACTCACACGGGTCTCACCTCCCTCACTGGTCTGGGGGCGGCTCGAGGGCAGGGCACGCACCTTGAACACGTCTGCCCCGTTGGAGGGCCAGGCAGGGGCTCCATGCCGCTGGTCGGGTTGCATAACCATCCCATAGCCAGGTTCCGTGACTGTGTGACAAGGGTGCCCCACCGGGACTGGTACCCAGTCTGTTAAACAAAGATCTCACCCCTCAGAGGTCATTGTCAGAACAGCCACGTGAAGAAACCACATGGGAGATACACCGGGCAGGACGGCCAGAGCCCAGGGGCACCAGAACATGGAGCCCAGAGGCAAGAGGGAGGCCTTCAGAGCTGGCCCTCGGGGCAGGGAGGGCCTCCTGTGGATGAAGGTGCTCACCCAGAGGGCCCCCCAGGGGTGGAAAACAGGCTGAGCCGTGGGGTTCTGAAAGACTCTCACGTCAACTTGGTTACAGCAGACAACGTACTTGGCCCCTCCTACAGGCGAGGCCCTTACGGCCGGCAGGGCTGTACCTGCGATTTTTCTGCCTGCTTATCTGACCTCCCTCCTTTCCTTCTAAGGACTGAGGTGGACATGCGCTCTCTGAGGATGCAATTCAGGTGCAAGTTCGGTTTCATTGGTCAAACCCCTCTGTGACAAACACTGTACCATCATTACTGCACATTATTCCATATATACATACATTATGATACACACATTTCATCCAATAAAAGCATTTGCAAGTCCAAGTTCAGATTCCCTCTGTGACAAACACTGTACCATCATTACTGCACATTATTCCATACATACATACATTATGATACACACATTTCATCCAATAAAAGCATTTGCAAGTCCAAGTTCAGATCTAACTGTCTCAGGCAAAATCTTATCTAGCCAAAATTTCATCAGAATCAAAGAGCTGACCATCTCTTTAGGGCCCCTTGTAAGAAGTGAGACCTCACAGGAGGCCCCAAAGCCATGGCACAGATTAGCCTGAGCACTCAGCCCACGGTCACACCCAGAGGTGCCAGGCCTGTGGGGAGGAAAGAGCCCCATGTGGAGATCCAGTGCTGACCCCAGCACCTGCTGCCTGAGACTCCTGGAGCATCAGCAATAAACACCCCCCAGTGCTGCCACCAGTGGCAATCCTGGGGAGCTAGTCCTGGGTAGAGAGACCTCCCAGGCCCAAATACTAAGAAGCAGCAACACGCAGGGGACCTGATGCCAAGAGCTGTGGTGAGCCCCCACACAGTACCAAGGCTGGTGGAACTCGCTGACTTGCAGGTTCCAGGCAGCCCTGACATTTTATTTCCTAGAGCTGGAGAATTTCTAAGGATGCACCTTCCTAGAGCATCCCTACCTCACAGGTGAGGGAGAGATGGCCCAAAGGAGGCACGGACTTGCCTGAGAGGACCTTTTGGGGCAATAGTCTGGGCCTCTAGGGGCCTTGTCCCTCCAGGGCACAGTCTCTCACCAGGCAAACACCCTGTTTGCTAATTCACCAATAGGGAAACACGTCGGAAGATGTCACCGAGTCCACCCCGACCCTGATCCAAGTCACATCAGTACCACACGCCCCCAAGGAGGCATTAGCTTAGATGACCCCGAGAGCTCTGTGGGTTACAGATCAGCTCAGATCCACAGGCAGAAGGCAGGGTGGACGCGCTCTCCAGAGTCCTCTGCAAACCCGTGACCGTGGGAAGGCATCTCCTCCCCCGCTGGTGAGTGAAGGTTTCACGGTAGATCTGGCTGAGAGCTGAGCAGGTGTCAGAAGTCCACTTGCTCAAATCACAGCACACTTTTAGTAGATGAACACACACAACCCGACTTGACATTTTGCATCAGGACATTATGTGATGCTCTGTGGGTAAGCACCGAGAGGCGCCGGCAGAGCCGAGGTGTTATCAGGGGTTTACTTCAGAGAAAACACCAGCGCACCCTACCTGGGATGAGCACGTCCCCCCCGCCCCCGGCCTACAGCTTGCTGGGTTATTTAGGGAGAACGAAGGACTCATTACCTGTAGAACTGGAGCTGCCTTTTGGGACTCCCATACCGAGTGCTTCGGCGGGCAATGGAGGAAAGAGAAAAAAAGGAGAGAGAAGAGAAGAGAGACAGTCTACAATTGGCAATAAGCACGGGAGGGGCCAGCTCAGAAAGCATCGCCAACATCCCGCAGCCCCAGGACCCCCGCCGGCTGCCTGCTCAGGGTGGTCTCGGAGGATGCACGGCCAGCTCCAGATGCTTGGCAGCAGCGCCACCCAGTGGCCCTTGGAAGCAGAAGCCCAGAGCCCATTCCGCCTGGACACTAAGGGGTCTTTTCGTGTCTGGCCTTATTTCCCACAGTCAACCTCTGGGTGAGAGTCTGTCTGGGTTTTAATATGTTTGAGAACACACTTTGTAATATGCTTTAGGTCAACAGTTGAAAACTCTTAAACCAAGAAGTGCTGCTCAAGTCTGCAGGTGATTATAGGGCTCTTTTCAGGACAGACACCCCCTTTCCCTGTGGCTCCCACACACACTGGCTCAGGCCCCAGCAATTACCTAGAAAGGTCAGCTGCCCAAGGACCTAGAGACCTCTGGGGTCCTGCCCATGCTTTGGGTTTTTGCTGTCCTTGGAGCTGGCAGCTCTCACCCAGCGCCCTCCATGTGCTGGCCTGTTGCTCAGGCTGACTGTCGTGTAAACAGAAAAATGCAGCCCTGGATCTGGAAGTGGCCTCCACCAGAAGGTCAAGGGTGTCCGGGAGCATCTGGCCACACCCCCCACTCCGGGCATTGGAAAATGGGCAGACGTGATTCCCCAAAGGCCTGCAAGGTCATCGGCCTTGTCCAGGGTGCCGGGGGACCACTGCGCCCATGTGAGCCACAACGCTGAAAGTGTGAGGAGCAGAAGGCAGGGACGGGCCCCGCTCACTGTCCCCTCAAATGAAATATTTCAGAAGAGTCAGGGACAAAAACGGAGTCTATCCTGGCTCAATCCCACTCAGAAAAGCTTTGTTTTTCTTCCCTATTTTGGCTTTTAAAAGCTTCCATTCCCTTTTTGGAGAAAATGCTCACCAGTGTGCACTGCCCAGTCCTGCAAAGCAGAAGTATGTGGGCCCCATGTGGTCCTTCCCTCCTCCCATGGGGAGGCCAGTGGCCTTGGGGACCCCTCCTCAGAGGCAGGACTGGCCCTGGGAGGAGGCCAGTGTGGGAGTGAGGTCGGGGGGTCACCTGTAGATCATCCCGGGGGAGCCCGTCTGCCGCAGGGAGAGCCGAGCTGGGGAGCCTGTTGTCGATTCCGGATACATGGAGCCGGCCTCACTTGTCCAGACCCGCTCACTTCTTCACGGAGGGAAAATTCTGGAAGAAAAGCAAAATGTGGTTGGGGGATGATGGTTAAAAAAAGGTCAACCAGGTTTGGCCAGGAGGCTCTGTGATTGTAAAGGCCCAGAAGGCTGTCTGAGTTCGTAGGGCGTCTATACATGCCTGTCAGACAGACAGACAGACCTGTGGGGCTCAGACAGGCTGATGATCATGTGTTACGCCTCTGTGAAGGATTTCCACTCCATCAGTCCACACTCCCACCTGACGTGTTGTGGGGCTCCTTCTGCGCCTCCCTGGCTGCTTTTCTGAAACTTGGAGCAGGTTTCCGCTGCCCACATGCTGCAGAAGAGATGGCCTCAGAGGGAGTCTGTGCATCTACTGAGCTCCCGTCTGTCTTCCCCTCCCAGGAAGGGGCCCTGCTGAGGTCCTAAGGCAGCAGCTTGTAAGATGCCCCCGATGAACCTGGCTCCTGGGATTCCTGCCCTTCTGTGGATCCCTCCCCTCAAGCGTGGCTGGACCTTGTGACCCGCTTCTAACCAGCAGACTATGGCAGGCTCTGATGAAGCCAGACACCACACTGGAGAGGCCCGTGTGGCAGGTACTGAGGTGGCCTCTGGCAACAGCTCACAAAGCAGCGAATCCTTCAAACAACTGCAGGAGACTGGAGGTGGATCCTTCCCAGCTGAGGCTCCGATGAGAGCCCAGCCCTGGCCTGACTGCAACTCGCGGGTCCTGAAGCAGCAGAACTGGCCACTCCCTGCCCAAACTCCTGATCCCCAGAACTGTGAGATGGTGACAGAGTGTGCTGTTGTGAGCTGCTGAGTTTTTGGTGATTGTAGATGACGGGAACACTTGCCCACGCCCGTCCTTCCACTCACTCCGCCCGCTGCGCCCTTGGGCTGGGCCGTTTTCTTCACCTGGACCCCTGGATCGGCCTCCTAACTGCTCCAGTTCCCACCCAGCCCTCACTTCTTGCTCCCCCCAGCAGCCAGGTGCATCTCTGCCGGGGTGAATCTGGTCACGTTACCCCTTCCTTCCCCTCCCCAGGCCCTGAGTGCTCTGCCTCCCCGTGCCTCGCTCCCGGACCCAGCCCCAGGCCTTCTCCAGCAGGCCAATGTCACGCCCTCCGCGGGGCCTTTGCGCTGTAGTTCGGTCCGTTCTGCCTGCTGTGCCCTTACCTCCCCTGTCACCCTTGGGTCTCCTCAGCGAGCCTGCCCAGTGCCCCAGCCAATGCCAGCTGACCTTCCTGTCTGCACACTGGCCTGTGTTGTTCTGGCTCCCTCTCTGGAGTGCGAGCTCCGCAAGGGCAGGGATCTCGTGGGTCTCATCACAACAGCACCCTCTGTGCCTAGAGCAGGGCCTGGCTTATGAAAGGGCAAAGGTCCCCTGATCCAAAATCATGTGGTCCTGCACCAATGGCAAAAGGATGGTCCAGGCTCAAAACACAGCTCCGCCTACCCACAATGGCCCCTGAAATTGCAGGGAGGGTGATAACCAGACACCCAGCCAAGCAGCTGATCTGGAGGGCTTTGTCCATCCGACCCTTCCTTTCCCCCAGAACCTCCCATCACCAGGAGGCTGGGTCCTTGGAACACCCCCCGCAGTCACGTGATGCAGGTTTAGGTCCTGCTGATAACTGGGGTCTCCTCTGAGTGAGAGGTGTGAGCGCCTGCGTGAGCCTGCTTGAAAAACAGGGACAGAAGACACAATGGAGGTTCCCCCCATGACAACCTCAGAGGAAGTGGGGGAAGGTGCCCCACAGTTTTTCCCTTAAAGAATCTCACGTGGAATGCAACGATGAGAGAAATAAAATGCTCTTAAATCCTTAAAATGAATACAGCAATGCTTGGCTGACACTAATTCTCGCTCACCAGGCAGATTCCTCATGAGTCGCGATGCCGTGATCTGGGCAGACCCGCCTCCCTCCACCCTCAAGCCCCTCCACACGCCCCTTTCACACCAGTCCTGGACAGGGGGCAGCTCCCGCTGGACACTGAAGGCCTCTTGATCAACTTTCCTTTTGCTCTGCGGTTCCTTCAGGACCACGGCCCCAGGAGGTACTAGGCTGATCCCTACCTGCCCAGATCAGCGCAAGAAGCTTCTCCCCCGCACATGGGCAGGACACAGCCCTAAGTCACTGACGCACGCTGCACTCTGGGCCCCAGGCTGGCTGCAATTCAGTTTGTGCAGAGCCTCTTCTACAGAGAGGGGCTGGTGACGGGCATTGGGGGCTGGGGCCCTGAAGGGCAGTCTCTCCGTTTGCTTTCTTAGGTGACTTGGAGGCACGAAATCACCTCACTAAAGTTGTTAAAGAGCTGCTGTTTAAACTCCCAACGATGCTGTGCTTCCAGCTGGAAGACGGTGTGCTCCTTAACACACAAAACACTGACTGAGCGTCCTGTGTGCAGGTGCTGGAGGCCGCCTGGATGAGTAGCACAGCCCTGACCTGGGTGGGTGAGGGATGCGGACAGGAAACCACAGCCACCGAGTGGCAGGCGCTACAGAGCGGCAGACACAGGCCTGCTGGGAGTACAGCCGTCACCATGGCCCCTCCCCAGGGGGTATCCCGTGGGGGATGTGTAAACAAACGTGCTGGTCCACAGGCCACAGGGGAGGATGGGGGGTAGGGTGTCCTCCCACGGGTCTGCAGAAAGGGATGGGGCCCGGATGCCTGCACCCTTGATGGGGTTGCTGCCCACCCCACACCCCATTCTTCCTTCCTTGGCTTTCCCTGGGTCCAGCTGTGGAGCAGCGGCACTCAGGAGTGTTTAACTTCCAGAATTCTAGAATCACAAACTCAACTTGCATTTGAAAAGGTGCAGGGACCAAGACTGTCTCATTCCGTATTCCACACACGTGGGGCTGGGCCCAGGCACTTACATTTCCAACAAGTTCTCAGGCACCGTTGGTGCTGCTGGCCCAGGGAACACACTTCGAGAACCACTTGTCTGGCGGGGTCCTAGCCCATGAGACAAATCCAGCCTGCCTCCTACTTTTATAAATAAAGTTTTATTGGAACACCCCCATGCCTGTTTGCTTACGAGTTATCTAAGGCTGCTTTTGTGCTACCACGACGAGGTTGAGCAGCTACAACAGGGACTGTCTTACCAGCAAAGCCTAAAATACTGTCTATCTGGCCCATCACAGAAAAAGCCTGCCAATGCCTGTTCTGGGCCATTCTCTCCCCACTCTCAAGTGACAACTTCCCAGCTCCTGCTCTCCTTAAATCCCCAGCACCTCCTCTCCCTTCTCCGTCCCTGCTCTGACTTTGCTGCTCCAACAGAAGCAACCAGTGGCCAACTTGCCCAGCCCAGCCCACCCTCCCGCCTCAGCCCTCATAGCATCCTGCCTTCCTCCTGTGGTGCCCTCCAGGGCCTGGGCACCACGCCCTGCGCGACAGCGCCCTGCGGCAGCAATCTGCCCCCTGCGGGGAGCACTGCCACCTGCATGCGACCAGCTGTTATTCCTCCCATCTCAAGAGAAAAAAAATCAAAAAGCGGCTTTTTGGACCGACTTCCTTCTCCCCCATTGAGCTGTTTCCTCCCGTTCACAGGAAGCTCCTCTGGAAGTTGCCCTCACTTGCCTGCAACCCCTCTCCTTTCGGCTCAGACACTGACTCCGATCAGCCTCTGGCTTAACCACTCTGGAAGCCCCTCTTGCCAAGGTCGCCGTGACCTCCCTGTCGCCAGGTCCAATGGTGCCTGTCGTACTGGGGCAACCGTGGCGCTGCACAGGGGGGTCTTCCTCAGCCCCCAGGACCCCTGCTGTCGGGGTTTCCCTCCCGCCTCTCCAGCCACCCCTTCTCGGTCTCCTTGACTGCTTTGGGCCCCTCTGTCCACTTCCAACTTTGGCAGCTGCCCAGGCTCAGGCTTTGAGCATCTTCTCTTTCCTGTCCACACGAAGTCTCAGATTTCCGTCTGTCTCCTGGCTCTGGCCTCCGCTGCCACACTGCAGACCCTATGTTCATATCTCCACCCTGGCCACGCTCTGGAGCCCAGCCTCATTTACTCGAGTGCTTGGGGACACCTCCACGAGGATGTGAATCAGGTGCCTCAGATTCACGTGTCTACACTGAGCTCCTGGTCGGCCCGCCAAGTCCTGTTCTCCCACGGCCGGGTGGCACCAGCGGCGTAAAGGACGCCCCACCCTCCAGGCTCAGTCCAAGTTCCCGGGTGTCATCGCGACTCCTTTCTTCCTCTCATGTCTCACATCCCACCCATCACAGCCCGAGTCCTGACGCTTCCCCCACGCTCCCTGCCACCTCTTCCGGGTCCGGGCCACCTTCTTTCTGGCAGATCCTCACAGCAGTTCCCTAATGGGTTTCTGCTTCACAGGGGCCAGAGTGACCCTCCAGAACATAAATCAGTCATATCCACACTGCTCAAAACCTTCTAATGGCTTCTATTCTACCCAGAGTAAGAGCCCAAATCTCAACAATGGCTTCTGGGCCCCTCCTGGTCTGCTCCTTTGACCTCTTGACCTCACTCCACCGTGCCCCCCACTCACTCACCCCAGCCACACTGGCTTTCGGGGTCCATGAGCCCAGCAGACTGGCTCCCACTTCAGGGCTTTTCTGCTCCTCTTCCTCCTGCCTGAATTCAGCCTCTGACCCCCCAAATCTACCTAGAACCCCCACTTTGCCTCTTTATACCAAGGTCACCTTCTCACGGAGGTCTTCCTTGGACACATTGTCTTAAATTGTAAACCCCGTCTCCCCCACGCGACCCAGCCCCTTTCTGTGTTATTTTCCTCCCTAGTGTTTACCACCTGCTAATATACCTTCCATGCCACCTGCTTGTCTCATTTATGATCTCTGTCCCCACCAAGATGCCGGCTCCGTGAAAGCGGGGAGTTTTGTCTGTTGTGTTCCAAGCTGTGCCTGGAACATTGTAGACTCAACAGGTATTTGTTGAATGAATGAATGAATGAGTGAATGAATGATTCAGCCTGCTGAAGGCCACGGAGAGAGAGCACAGGAACAGCGGCTGGGGCTCGGAGGTCTGTTACTGCAGGTAGCACGCCTGCAGTGCTGGTGC